TGCCATATCTATTCTACATAATATCTTAGTGGAGAGGTTTGTACCTAAAATATATCATAAGCCTAAAAATGTAAAAATGTAGTTTGATTAAATAAATAAATGAATGATATAGAAATCTAGAAGGCGCTGCGCGCGCAACATACCCTCGACACCGATATTTCACGTGCTTAGTGTGCTGTAAGCTTTTTCTCAGCTGAAAAGTGTTCCGTGGCCAAAAAAAAAAATGGGAAACGCTGCTCTAAGTTATAAAACGATATTCTTCGGTGCATCAAAATAAAGATAACATAAAAATAACATAAGTTGCATATATTACAAGTGAAGAGTTTTCCTCGCATGTTTATGTTTTGTCTTATTATCTATTGTTTATATACTGTAATATCCAATGCACATCTTCATCACCGAGAGTGAATCGCGTACATTGGAATAGATTCTTCGATCTGCCTAATGTTTTCTTTCAGCAGATTTCACACAAGTGCTTTGTGAAGAAAATCAATCGTCTTTCGATAGATAAAAATAAATGCAACCGCACCTCTTTTACGAATGTAACAATGCGCAAATAACGCCAAATAAACGTTTTAAAATATCTGCTTTACAGTAACGTTTTACGGATTTGGTTAAGTAGTCCGGTAAATATTTTATACGGTGGACATCGCACCGTACTAGCGGCTCTACCCCTAGGAATGGACTCCTCTTACCCGCAGCAAACACTCCAGATGCTAGAAGTGTGTTGCCTTGACATCGCGAACTTCATATGGAGAAGTTAGTACTTGCCGTCGTTCGCAAGATAAATTACAAATGGTGTTTACGTCTTCCTATGAACGTTATTATCTAAGAATACATATATTAAATTTAAAGTTCTCCCTGTTGCCTCTGTGGTCTTTTAAGCAAATTATTTGTTTGCAACGATGCATTTGTTTCTTCAAAATAACAGAATGCACGCACAATGAGTAAGTGCACGTATTCGACTGGCTGAATAATATGAATGAAAGATTGTGCCAGCCACTACTACTACTTCAAGCAAAAAACAATCACGTGCGGCGTTATTAGAATGAAAATTTTCAACAAAGGGATAAAGTTAGAAGATAGGAAACTGAAAATATTAAACGTTATGTGCAAAAACGATTCTACAAGTTTCTTCTTCTGAATCGGGTAAGCAAAGTTAACAATAAATTCGGTTCAAGCTTCTTATTATTACTAATGCTAGTAATACTAATAGAAACTAGCGTGTTCAAATTATAATTATAATAATATTAACACTAATTGGCAATAAAGTTAGAAAACAACAACAACTGTACTCTGCAGGTAAAAATAAAACTGTTGTATTATTATCTGGGGGGTAAAGGCCGTTTTTGTTTTTATGTATTGCCCAAATGTCTATATCCGTCCGGTATGCACAACAAATTCTGAAAAACAACAAAATATTTATTTTTCTCTATTATCCATAAGGATTTAACTTCGTTATATTGTGCTTTGGAGATATAAAATTGTTCATATGAAACGTTTATTTTTATAATTTTAATATAAGTATGATGATATAACACGTCGGGCTTAAGCTGGACGTGTATTTAGTAATGCTAATATGGAGAAGAAAAAAAAATATTTTTTAGAAAATACATCATCAAATGTTCGTGCAGTATTTAAAAGTTTTTCAGAGCATCGTGATTTCTAATGAGCGAATGTTTACATTATTGGTCTTATTAAACCCATGAGGACGAAAAGCCCCTACTTTTTATGTTGTTACTATTTTATACGCCAATAACCATCACTGTTCGTCCACTTGATTGAGCTGATTAGAAAGTGGTGATAGGGAAGCGTTCAGTTAAAGCAGGAACTAAAGAAAGCAGCCCATGACCTACTAAAACAGTAAATAACTAAAATTACCAGATCGTCTCGTGGCGTATAGAGGCGGGAACTTAGAATTCAGCTGTACAACTACAAGTAATACACAGGTGAGCAGCTGATGTAGCAAATGGGAACTGAATCCTGAAGTTATGTGAAGGTTTGTAATGATACATTAAACAGCTGGTATTACTTCAGTTTGAGCAGCATGAAAGTAGACTCCGTAGTCATTTTTATTTCAACTGCTTATACAATGGCTATGTGGAAACTTATAACTTGCTTATAAGAGGCCATTATTATTGATATTGCAGGCTCATGATGAAAGAAACTGGACCACATAATTACATAAATCATAGCGAAGAAGAACATGAAACTGTCTGTGACTTCCTATTTCCCATGAGGCATTGTAGCACTATCTTTGTAAAACTACTTTTCTCCTGTAAATGTTTTCAAATTTAGAGTTCCGATAATGACCTAGTAAGTTCTAAACTTATTTACATAATTGTCAGTACTAGGTGTGGCTAAGTGTGTAGTGTGCCGGACTATGCATCCGAGGATTCATGGTTCGCGATCCGTCCCCCCAAAAAAATGTGGGTGTGTTACAAGAGTGACAGTCAAAATCACTATTCTATCACACAACATTGGCCCAAGAGTAGTAGACCAATCTTGTGACTGCGCAGTCAGCCCTTTTGGCCATTTTGTAGTTTTGCACGAAATTCTGAAACAAACAAACGTTATTGATCGGATGTTTCTTTTCGAATGTGTATAGTGAAGTATTTTTGCTATTTCTTGCTTATCGAACGCAAACTTGAGATACACGGGTGTAGTCAGCATTGCAGTGTGTAGGAAGGGTATTTTTGAAAAACGTGGACTTTTTCTTCTAAACAAAAGCCAAGTGTTTATTTAAAATAATGAAAAAAAATCAGATGATAGTGGACCTACTAGATTATTTACAGCATTTGGATGGTCGTTCGACCTCCAGCTATGCCCTGTGATAGACAATTGTTCCAAATCCATCAAAAATATCTTTATATTTATTCATGATTCTTTGCCCTCAAAGGTTATCAGCAATATGTATCTAGGAATGTACTACCTACCCCTTTGCCAGTTATCTCTACTGGTATGGAAGAACGAGTACTGTTGAATCATGGCTGTCATAAAAAAACAACTACAACCTACAGAAACCTTGTGTTTACTGCTGTTTGAAGTAAACCTTATTTAATTTATTTTGTACGCCCAAGTACACGTAAATAAAACAAAAGCCAGCTACCTTACAACTCCAAAGTTTGACCAGTGTAATGGATCAGTAATTAAATGATGTACTTGTTAAGGAAAGAAACCAAATAATTCTTGGGTGTTGAGATTTTTCAAAGCTTATGGAGAAGAAGAAATGTGTATGTTTTAGCAATATAACTGGCCAATTCGTGGTAAGAAGAATTAAAATATTTTCCATCATGATTATATTACTATTAGGCTTAGTGATAGAGAAAGGCGATTTTCTAATAGCTTTTTTTTTCTCTTTCCATTAAGCTAAACTAATAATACTTTAGGTTGTGATATAGAGCGAAAACAGATTATTTGATAATTTACATAATTGGTAGCCTTAAAGATCCAGAAGGCCAAAATTTTGCAGTATGAGATAGGCGTTATCACCGAGCTTAATTTTATTTAATTTAGGCAATAACACAAACTTTCGTTTTGACTAAGTAGCCAATACAATGCTACGAAATTATTAATTATACCAAAGTAACTTAAATTAAAAATACTGTTACGTCTCCGTTTGTTAATT